TTTTTTTTAGTAATATAATTTTGTCTCCAAACAAAAAGAAACATCATTGTATAGGAAAAACACGGTATTTAGCTAAAATTCAAAAAAATGGGAATATTACCATATTATAGATGTCGAATGTGCTTCGTCGTTGAGTAATCACTATATTGGTTAAAATTTGAATTCATTGATAAAYCATTGACCATTGTGTATGATAAAAAACAATCTTGAATAAAGTCTTTATAACTGTTTGATAACGAAGATAATTAAACAATTATTTTAGTAATAGGCCTAATATTGAAACTTAAAAAAAATTCTTATTCTTATTTGATGATACTAATTATTTAAAAATACTTAATAATTTTGATTTCCCAAAAGTACCTACCAACTAGTCACTTGATCCAATTTTTTACCAGAAACTTCTAACAAAAGTGATGAACAGAACATTTTTCGACTAGAAAAAATGTTTCCGGACAAAAAAAATAAAACTTATATTATTCATAGCATTATAAAAAAAGCTCATGATTTGTTATTTATATATATCGATAAATATTATTCATTCTAGGCACACAGTATTGGAAAGTCAATATAAAGAGAAATATCGCTGCAGTAAAGGTCGGGTACCCGAAACTCATTTCCAAGATATGGCGTGGTATACCAAATAACATAGATACAGTGTTTCCTTACAAGGATGGCAAATTATATTTTTTTAAAGATAATTATTATTACAAGCTTAACTTCCATACGTCTAGAGTCAGTATAATAAAATACTTTAGTTTTATTTTTATTTTTTTATGTTGAAATAAAGTTGAAGTTTTCAACGTGTCTACATCATTCGTTTGTTTCGATTTCCCAGGTTGTAAAGGAAAACCCACCTTATCCCCACGATGCTAGAAATTCTTGGTTTGGCTGTAATGATCCATAAATTAGCGCTTTATAAACAAGTGTACAAGTAAAATAATTAAAGTAATTTTCAATGCCTTCTTATCTGTTACAAAAGTAATCATTAACTTGATGTAATATTTTACAGATGAAAAATTTGAAATTCGTAATTTTTTTTTTAAAGATTGTTTGGGATACACACAGTGAGTTGGTGCATTTCCTGAAYATCCGGAACCAAATCCAGAATTTCAGTGCTCCAGTTGTTAAAGATATTATTTATATGAACATTTTACTTATATTTTAATTTTATTAGGTATTGGTTTTGATTTATGTTTATTTATTAATAATTTTATATAATTATGATCGTTTTATCTGAATAAATAACTTGTTTACGTTATGTTTAATTTAATGTTAATTAAAATAATTTCATTGTACATATAAGAGTTTAGCTAAATACTTAACTTATAGTATACAACGGGCCATATGAAAATTCATTAGAATTGCATGATTAAAGTTATTTCGATGAGAGGAAATCATTGTGCAAGATGTCATCTCTGGTAAAGTTCGTGTAGCTGAGTTTCGTTCAAAATTGTTGAGAGGTATGCAATAATTTATTTACCTTATCAATCAAAATTTAAACTTATATTTTAAATATTTAAATATTGTTGTTCATTCTTGAAAATATAATATGTTATACACAATATTATATGTCTGTATAGTGAGAAAAAAGAACAAAAATAAAGTATAAAATGGCTTAATGCCGTTAAAAGAGTTTCAAATAAAATGCGAAGATAGAAAACGCCTGGAATTCCAACGGATCGGCAACCAGATTTGATATTGAAGCGTAAATACGGCGCCTGTAATTTCTTTACTTAGGCAACCATAGTTGAGTACAGTTGATGAATAAGTATAGTGCCTGAAATGTTAAATGACAGTATAATGTTTTTAAAAGTAATACTGTTGAATTAGTAAAGTAAATTTGTATTGAATTTAATTTCACTCGATAGTATGAGAATTATTGAAGAGTAGTACCTATGCTTTTCTTATACGTATTAATTTTATATTTATCAATAATAACTACATTTTTTGTAGATTA